CACACACACACACACACACACACACACACACACACACACACACACACACACGCAGACACACGCACGCACGCACGCACACGGAGCCGTAACAAGTACGACAAACACTGCCCGACGACCATGACGCTGCACTAACAACGTTTAACGCATCGTGTTACCCAGCCCGGAGTTTACTCACGGTAAAAGCTTTCCGTAGGTAAAGCGCTAGCGCTGCCAATCCGCCGAGGCGGTCAACACTAGGTACACGCGCTAATCCAGTACGTTAATGTTTTCTGACTGCGAACGGAATTTTATTTGCGTGAGTATCTTGGCGACCCGTGGCTTCAGAGAATTTTGTCTCGGCTAGATTTCCCAGTAAGTGGAGATGCATAATGACTTGCTTATAACGGAGAGACGAGCTTCATAAGCCAGGTTCCGGGGTTATGAACACGGGTTTTGAGTCATAAACACTGGTTATGGTTATTAACAGTGGGATTATTAGCGAAAACATCAATTAGAGTAAAGAACAGGAGTTTCACTAACAACAAGGGAAAGATGATGGGATATTACTATGTATGAGGTCATGAGGTCAGCGTGTTAAACACTGTCTACGGTTAGGGACAGAAGTTAGGGCTGGGAATATGAGGAGAGCTAGGATTAGAAGCAGGCATTTAGGTAAGAAACAGGGGATTGTGATTAAGAATGGAGGTTTGTGAACGTTTTATCTAGTTCCGACTGCTGTGTGTCTACGCGTGAATACGTACGACGTGTAGGCTGAACGTTGAGATTAGTGCGTTGGACAGTAGAAGGATGTAAAGTAGCGAAGTCGACAGTCATCTCGTGTATTAGTCGATCCTAAACCACCGCTCCCTTCCTCACCCCTTCTATGTCTGTCTCTCTCTTTCTGTTCTCATTCTATTTCTCAGTCTCTCTGTCTCTGTCTCTGTCTCTTTCTCTCTCTATCTCTCTCTCTCGCTCTCTCTCTCTCTCTCTCTCTCGCTCTCTCTCTCGCTCTCTCTCTCTCTCTCTCTCTCTCTCGTTTTCTCACGTCGCCCTCTCTCTCACTCTTCCTCTCTTTCGCCTTCTCTCCCTCCCTCTCTCTTGCTGTCTCTATCATTTTCTCCTGTTTCTCACTCTCTCTCGTTCTCTCTTTTCTCCCTCTCTATTTCTCTAGTCTCTCTCACTCTTCCTCTCTTTTGCTTTTTCTCCCTCTTTCTCTCTCGCTGTCCCTAGCTCTTTCTCCTCTCTTTCTCGCACTCCCCCCTCTGTGTGTGTGTCCCCGATCTTCCGATGGTAAATTGTCCATTACGATGCATGGACATGTCGACGGCGTGAATTACCAAGCCGAGTGAGAGAGTGGTTACAATGCGAAATGGCGCGCGTGTATGTGTAGTGTGGACTCTGCTGGTACATCAGCACACCAATACACAGCGAAGAAGCCCGTGCAGTAAACGTTAAAATCACAGGCACTTGGGACAGAGTCAGTAAAAACTGAAAATATTATGAACGCACATTCACAAATAGGCCCTACTACCGTACTTCTCAATTACAGTTCCACTGTTGCGTCACTGTATATCAACTTTCCTTCATAAAAACTAACGCCGAACGCTCCCGCACTCGCCGCTGCGAGGCAACAGTGACGCAACAGTGGAACTGTAATTGAGAGGTACGGTAGTAGGGCCTATTTGTGAATGTGCGTTCATATTATTTTCAGCGTTTACTGACTCTGTCCCAAGTGCCTGTGGTTAAAATAGGTTACGATTCAGGGACTGTCTGGCTGCGGTGAATACTGCCTGCTTGAAATTATACGTTAAAGATGTCAGTTGGCGAGCGTACAAGCTAACTCTAAAGAATGGATTTACCAAATTGTAGGTGGAAAACAAATCATAGGTAACCTGCTAACCACGGATTGTAAATAAATAGCTAAACATGGGTAACGTGCTGATTAAATATTGTAGTTAAATAACTAACTATATGTAATGTGGAATTGTAAATGACTAACTGGCTCTAAGTCAGTTGTCATGGAAAAGAGGTCCATTAAAGATATTTATTGCGAGTTTCTGACATAGAAGGCAATTACCATTTGTGTAGGAAATAGTCCAGAACTTGTACTCGATCATTGCCTAATATTCTAAAAGTATACGAAACTTGGGCTATTCGGCATTTTATCCAAATAAAAAATGGCGCGTGTATGATTTATCGATGAGAACGACTGATCCGTGGGGAGTGCTATTCAGTCTACTAACGAGCATCAAGGATGAATATGAACACGAACAATAACTTGTCAGTTTTAGTTCGACGCGTAACAGCGAACAAATGATTAATAATAAACAGCAATTCAGGTAACCGTCACAGTTTTTAATGTGCGGGGTAAAATCACCTCGCGGCCACACCCTAACCGAGCATATATAGGCAGTACATCAACGCGGCCGGCCCTGATGCCTCGGCCCTGATAACCGAGCATGCGCAAGACGCATTACCTGCGATCAACTCGCGCCATATTATTACGCACTTACGTTTCAGG